CTGCTGAACAAAACATGCAAATGTTATAAATTGTTTGTCATAGAGTATATTTTCTGCAATAATCCAAAAGCCTATAGACAAATCCCACTGGCTTTTTGTCGAGGGAACCAGGGCGATGCTAACATCCGGGTCGGTCTACAATGTGAATGCAATATAAAAATTAAAGATGGAAAATGTAAAAGCATGACTATGTAATGCACATCAGGCCTATTCACTTAGAAAATGGGAAATGGATATGACGGTTTAATGACTAATATTTTGTCAGCAACAAAGTGAGATTTTTACACACTTGAAGCAGTTGACAGTGTGGAGGCTGATGGTTCACCCTGAACGTTTTGGCCACTGTGCTTCTGAGCAGCAGAATTTAAATGAAGACAGCTGACGTATTTCATTACGAGTGTACTTTATTTTGAAAGTTTAACACACAGGAATTGGAAAGAGCATGGTCAGCAGTCTCATATCTCAGTAGAAAAAAAAATCAATAAATAACAATATCTCACTATTAAATAAAAGAATTTCACATTTCACACAATCAATAGCATGATCATTGATCAGCAAGCAAGGGGCAGGGCCAGCGGGGTTAGTTACATCAGTGGGGCAGGGCTAACATCAGCAGATGGCAGAGCTACACCTGTGCAGCTACAGTTTAAATGTTCACAAAGTTGGCTCTTCTGTTTAAACTTCAGTGTCAAGTTTAAACTGTGACGTTTAAATGGTCTAACTTTTGCAGTTTTTAACACAGGAACGTCACACAGGTCTGAACAGGCCCTTGGTGGGCGCCACGTTAATGTTTGATTTCAGTGTCTTTAAAACTTCTTCAAGCGACAGGAAGGGTTGTCCGCAGCAGCCATTTTATATTTTCTTTTCAAAAATGTTTACATAATCGATGATTGAGTTTTGTATAATTCATCGTAGCTGTAATACTGATCTCAGGTCAGTTTGCCAGTGAACCTGAAATACATCCCGACTGATAAATCACAGAAGCTCAGTTTTCACATTAGAACTAGTGGTTTCAACACAAAAAAATATTCTGATATCAGATGTTTTCCAGTGGAAACTCTGTAACCCAGTCTCTAAATGACCTCAAACCTCTGATATTTGTTACTGACGAGCAGACAGACTGATACTGATTTATACCATCAAATGATCTCTGCCTGCTGATTGATCATTTTAACTCTGATGTGAAAACTGTGACTTTCGACAAACAAGAAACATTTATTTCAGTCAGTTTGAACAAATAAAAATGAACAGAAATAACAGTTGTTTAAATACTGAGCTGATTAGTTAATCATTATCAAATCAAACATATTGATTGATAGATTGATAACTGAAACAAAACATTATAGAATAATATTTGTCAAACCGATTTGATGCGATTCCAGTTTTAGAAAAATCGAGTTTCATCCAGTTTAGTTGTCAGACTGCAGGTCGACAGGGCACTTGTTTCAACCCTTTCAGTTACAGAAACTGAACTGTTTTATTGATTTATTTACATATTTGAAATATTTTAATGAGTACTGGCACTCAAAAAACATAAAACATTATCTTTCAGATCTGACTTCTTCCGATTTCTAATATTTAACCTCATCTGGAACCTGTGGTGTCTGATCTGTGATTGAGCTCTCTCAATCATCAGTAGCAGTCTGTCAGCTGAGGCGCTGACATACTGTATGTGAAGAGTTAAACTGTCCAGTGAAAAAGCTGTTACCAGACTTCCTCTGAGCTCTGTCCTTTACATCACTTCCTTTGGCGAGACGTCCTCATTGGTCGATTACTGCGCTAGACTAGACGACTACTCTGCGCAAAGCCTACAAGATACAGACAGACAGGCAGAGAGAAAGGTAGATAAACAGGTATGTTAGAGGAGGTAGCGTGAGACAGGAGGTCAGAGTGCTACCCACTTCTCTACACCTACACTCTGGTTGTACAAACTCAATCAGATCTGTTATTCATGTCTACTCGAAAGTGTATTTTCTGTTTTTTCTCAGCTTTATATCTAAGGAAACTTTCTATGTTGAGAACAAGACATTTGACAACAAATGCAGATGGATGTCTTTCACTGCTTTCTCATATTATATACACAAATGAGTTGATTATGGAAAAGACCAGTTAATAGTAAGTAGAGATTTTTTAGATAAACTCTGAAATGGACCTCCTCAAATTAAACATGAAGCCAAGTTGACTGAATGAATTACTGTGACAGCCAATCACTGATTTAATTCCTACACAGGTAATACAATACTTATTGATCAGTTCTGACTAGAGACGCCCCAGTCCAATACTAAGTATCGGTGCTGATCCAGGCATACAGTATTTCACAGGATCGGTATCGGCCAGAATGAAGCAGACTCGGTCGTGTTTCTGAGACGAGTGTCATGCAGCAGGTAAGCTGCTATATTAATCAGTCCAGTTGTCTATGCTGCCTGTGTGTGAGCTGACATGTCACTGGCCTTCACACACGCAGCCACAACCCAACATCTGTTTCTAGCTTCAAGCCTATTTCTGTGGAGCTCCGTGCTTCCACAGAATCCATAAAAACAATGAAACAGGCTCAACTAGACAAGTCTCACTGGACTGACGGGTTTCTCGACTAATGACTCGACTGTTCGATTATTAGGCGGCCGCCCTAGCACACACACACACACACACACACACACACACACGAGGCACACACTAGAGTGGCGCACAGTGAGAAGTAACAGAAAACTTGCCAAATATACTGTAGGTTTATGAGGTCCATATCAATTTTAGACCATTTTTAAGAACATATCGAATCTGTGGTTATCAACTGATGCAGCTGTAAATCTGACTTTTGCATCAATTTTCTAATTCGTATCGGTTTATCTATACAGCCCTACTTTAAACTCTCAAAGGTCAAAGTGTTTACTGTCATATGCACAATTAGGAAACGTGTTTGCCTGTACAATGAAATTCTTACTTTGCCGTCCACATGAATGACACATAATACAAGTGAAATATAAAGTAGATAACAAATCTAAGGCACTTCTCTGACAGCAGTTTAAGGTTTTGCTGTATCTTGAAGCACTGAAGGTTCATGTGGTTCAACATGTTAGGGTCAGCTTCTCTGCCTGTCTCTGTCTCTGTCTGTCTGTCTGCCTACCTGTCTCACACTCCCTGTCTATGTGCCTCACTCCCGGCCTGTCTGTCACTCTCACAAATTGTCTGTCTGCCGGTCTCTCTCTCTCTCTCTCTCTGCCTGTTTCACAGCAGTTCGCTCTGTGGGCAGGAGCTCGTCCTTATGTTCATGTGTAAAAGCTGAAAACCGATTTCAGTCAAACAGTTCCAGTGCCAGAGTTAAAGCTGATAATCAGGACAGACTCTGCAGCAGCCTGGTATCAGTGATACTGATACGGATATTGGTCCGATTCAGTTCAGGCCATGCATCTTCCACAGATCAGGCCGTTCGAGGAAAATGATGTCATTGATGCAGGACATGGTGGTTGTTTTGGTGAGAGCATGCCAACACTCAAAGAAAAAAATGGAGAGAAACGTCCAATACAACTCCATCGGTGAATTTCAAAAGCTTTCATAAAACCTCCAAGTACTAATCTGATGCTAGTCTTTTGCTTTTTCTTAGGCTAGGCAGACTACTGGTCTGGTCTGGTTATAGACTGAAGTAATAATTGTGCCCGTAGCCTTTCAATATTTAAGTGGAAGTGGCTACAGGCTATGGAGTGAAATTGGAACACAGGCGGTCAGCTGGGCACCTTGGAGATGCATGTATATTCACAGGTGTGAACAGTGATGTCTCGATCGTCCACTTGTTTTCAGATCACCGTGACAAGTCTAAACAGGGTATTAGGGTCAGAGGTAGGGATGGGTTCTGATAGCGGTTTTCTGTTGGATCCAGTTCTGAGTTGGTAAAATACCCAGCTTCGTGAAGTTTCACGAACAAATGAATCCCTATCGAACCTGTGACCTGAAGCAGAGCAACAATCTGTTCACCTTCAGGTAACACTAAGCTCATAATGCAGCAAAAGATCTGTGATTTATTTAATTATTCACAGGATGATAAAGTGGAATTAATATTACAGGTGCATCTCAATAAATTAGAATATCATGGAAAAGTCCATTTATTTCAGTAATTCAACTCAAATAGTGAAACTCTTGTATTATATATATACAGTCTTATGCAAAAGTTTAGGCACCCCTTGATAAATAACAGATTTTGGTGATTTTTTTATTTGAACAGATGTTAACACAGTTTCTCTTGGAAATGGAAAAAATGCACAATATTTTCAGCAAACAGTGATGCATAGTTACTTCTTATGCCATAAATTGAACAAAAATAAAAAATAAAAACATTATTATGGCATGGTGCAAAAGTTTGGGCACCCTAAGAGTTCCAGAGTCTCAAAGTCTCTCACAAGGTTTCAGACCTTAATCAGCTCATTAGATCTGATGCACAGCAACAGCTGTCATTGGTAAATGCCAATTTCAAAGCTGTACAAATACCTTGACTCTTCAAACCTTGTGCACACACTTGTGGACACCCAGCAACCATGGGTTCCTCTAAGCAGCTGTGTAAGACCCTGAAAATGAAAGTTATTGATGCCCACAATGCAGGAGAAGGCTACAAGAAGATAGCAAAGCGTTGTCAGCTTGCAGTTTCCACAGTAAGAAATGTAATTAAGAGATGGCAGATCAGGGGAACTGTGGAGGTCAAGATGAGATCTGGAAGACCAAGAAAACTCTCGGACAGAACTGCTCGTATGCTGGTCAGAAAGACAAATCAAAACCCCCATTTGACTGCAAAAAACCTGCAGGAAGATTTAGCAGACTCAGGAGTGGTGGTGCACCGTTCCACTGTGCAGCGATGCTTGCACAGACAAGGCCTTCATGGAAGAGTCAGCAGAAGAAAACCTTATCTGCGTCCCCATCATAAAATCCAACGTCTGAAGTATGCAACAGGACATCTACAGAAGCCCGATGCGTTTTGGAAACAAGTGCTGTGGACTGATGAAGTTAAAATAGAACTCTTTGGACACAATCAGCAAAGGCATGTTTGGAGAAAAAAAGGAGCAGCATTTCATGAAAAGAACACCTTGCCAACTATTAAGCATGGGGGTGGATCTATCATGCTCTGGGGTTGTGTTGCAGCCAGTGGCACAGGAAACATTGCACGGGTGGAGGGAAGAATGGATTCCACTAAATACCAGCAAATTCTGGAAGCAAACATCACACCATCTGTAAAAAAGCTGAAGCTGAAAAGAGGATGGCTTCTACAACAGGACAATGATCCTAAACATACCTCGAAATCCACTATGGAATACCTCAAGAGACGCAGGCTGAAGGTTTTGGAATGGCCATCACAGTCCCCTGATTTAAACATCATTGAAAATTTGTGGGTAGATCTTAAAAGAGCTGTGCATGCAAGACGACCAAAGAATATTACAGAACTAGAAGCCTTTTGCAAGGAAGAATGGGAGAAGATCCCAAGTACAAGAATTGAAAGACTTTTAGCTGGCTATGAAAAGCGTTTGCAAGCTGTGATATCTGCCAGAGGAGGTGTTACTAAGTACTGATTGTGTAGGGTGCCCAAACTTTTGCACCATGCCATAATAATGTTTTTATTTTTTATTTTTGTTCAATTTATGGCATAAGAAGTAACTATGCATCACTGTTTGCAGAAAATATTGTGCATTTTTTCCATTTCCAAGAGAAACTGTGTTAACATCTGTTCAAATAAAAAATCACCAAAATCTGTTATGTATCAAGGGGTGCCTAAACTTTTGCATAAGACTGTAAACACCAAACGGCAGACAGGCAGTGGACCTTATTCACTAACATGCGCATAGAAATGTTCTTACCTTGTGCACAAAATAAGTGCAGGAGACATTACCATCATATTCATGACACCAGCCAATTTTGTTCTTTCTATTGTGTGTATGTTAGTGTAAATCAGAATCATTCTAAAATGACAGGCGCATTCCAGTGGTTTTCAAGTAGCCTGCTGCCATGCCCCCATTTCTCTATATACTTATAAACTAGAACAGTTTTTTAAATTTAATTTATTTCAATTAAAACTGTGATTAATCAGAATGACAGGGCATTAATTTCATGTTTATTTAATATGCTACATTTGGTCAATGCATTAGTAAATTAATCATTATAGCCTTAAATTATATTAATCAATTATATTAGCTATTAAAACCTTTTTAATTAATATAGTTTCAGTTAAAATGTGTTTGCATTTTTTAGCCAGCCAGGCCTTCATCATTTGTTCATACACATGGGGTGAGGCAGTATTAAATTTGTTCACAGAGTATGAACAAATTAAGGTAAGAAAATATTGATACAGAATATTGAATAAAATTGTGCATAAATTGTTTGTATACACGGTTTCAGCACAGAATTGTGTGTACACACTGTTTGTGGACGAGGCTTGGTGCTAGCAGCTAACTGGTGAACATACTCAAGCAGTTCGTAGATTAAGAATCAGATATTTTGGAGTTGGTGGAGACCAAAAACAGAGCTAAAAGAAAGTACTGTATATATTGGACCTGATGACCAGACACGTGACTCCAAATGGCAATAATGCTCTGTAACTGCTGGGTGTGTAAATAAGCAACTGCTTGCTGACAGGTTCACAAATTCAACTTAAAAGGTGAAGATATGTCAATATTGAGTCCCCAGGCAGTGAAAAAGGCCATTATTGCAGATTTAAAGCTACAGTAATGAGGGCAGCAAAATGAGAAAGGTGATGCTCATATTTTTGAATGAGAATTAGTTTGTCATTGGACTCTGAAGTTCTCCTTACAGCTGGGCTTTTAGCATCCTTCACTGTTTTCATTCTATAGTCCACAACTTTGCTGTTTTGGTTCACTCTGAGCACTGTCATCAGTGATGTTATTGGACACGACACCCTATTTTTAATAAAGAATGGAAAATGGTTTGGAAATCACAGGCACAATTGTTTGTGTTGCAGCAGTCACAGGTAAATTGCCTTTTGTTGCAATAATCACAATGATCACATTGACATGTTGAGGCCCATATGTATTTAGTCTGTTTAGCCAGTTTTTTTTTTATTACATATCAAATAAGACAAAATAAGATGGTACAGTTTTGAATCATTTAAGGTTGTAGTGATATGGTACAGGGGTGTACTGAGTTTTGTTATATACTATATGTTCAGCTGCCTCCAGCTAATGTTCACTGTGCAGCTGTAACTATGAAGAGATTGAAAAGTGCACTTATGCTCTCTAGGCTGCAGGACTTACAGTACAGCACAGCAAATGAACTTAGCTGTAAACCTTTACTGCCATGCCTTCTCTGTGCTTACTTTTGTAGTAAATGTAATTTCAAGTCTTACTACCAATTTCATTATTTCACTCGTAATGAGAGTTGTTTAAATGAAGGACATTTCCATCAGCAGTCCCCAAGCTGAATAAGATGACCAGTAAAAGTTGAACAACTGCAGTGATCCATGCTATGAATTCAAGATGCTTGGAGCTGGGCAGACACCAGCTTCTCCATAACTTTAGAAAGAAAAGGGAGAAGAGATATCGGGCGAAAATTTCCTAACACAGTTGAGTCAAGGTTGGGCTTTTTGAGCAATGGTCTGATAATCGCATGCTTCAGAGTCTGAGGGACTAGTCCCGAGCTCAGGCAGGAGTTGATAAAAATGACCAACCAAGGGCCAACGGTGTCAATCGACTCCTTAAAAATCTTTCCAGGAAGGGGGTCCAGAGGGGAAGCTGGAGATTTCAGCTGACGCATACATTTCTTAAGTTGCACAATGGATATCTGTGAAAACGAAGTGAAAGTATGGGAGGGGTGGGAGACAGATAGAATATAGGAGGAAGGATGCGGGACACTCTGCCTGATGGACCGGGTCTTTTCACTGAAATGCATTAAAAACTCATTGCAAACAGTATTTGAAGTCTCAACAAATACAGCACTAGAGGGATTAATAACCGCATTAATGGTCTTAAACAATACTCTAGGCTGATGACTATTCTCAGAGATAATGTCAGATAGATATTGAGACTTAGCTGCGTTCACAGCTCTCTGATATGCCCGACAAGTGTCTCTCAAAATGCCTAGTGAGACTTGCAGACCGTCCTTCCTCCATCTACGTTCTGCCTGTCTACAATGTCTCCGATGGGCACGAGTAACATCATTCACAAGGAGGGTAAGCCACAAACATTCATTGCCAAAGAAGCTGGCTGTTCACAGAGTGCTGTATCCAAGCATGTTAACAGAAAGTTGAGTGGTAGGAAAAAGTGTGGAAGAAAAAGATGCAGAACCGAGAGAACCTTGAGAGGCTTGTCAAGCAAAATCAATTCAAGAATTTGGGTGAACTTCACAAGGAATGGACTGAGGCTGGGGTCAAGGCATCAAGGGCCACCACACACCGCCGTGTTAAGGAACATGTCTGTGCAGATTCTCAGTCATCCAGGTCATAGTAAAATGAAATAACCTTAGAAAAATCAACTGGACTTAGATTTCTAGATCGAAGAGGTTTCACTTCTCATCCAAGAGGCTTCATCAGTTCTGACTGACTGGTGTTGAGCCGGAGATATTTAAGGAAATTGGCTACAGTTGTCGTATTCCTCTTGTCAAGCCACTCCTGAACCACAGACAACGGCAGAGGCATACTAG